CAGGAACGTACTCGCCCTCGATGCTGTGGAAAGGAAGTTTCAGATCATCATAAATCACATTCTTGCTTTAGTCTAATTTTTTATCATAACAAATATATGTATACGGAAATTTTGGGTGGTCTTTTGTTTTGTTCAAAACAAAAAAAAAAAAAAAACCACCACCGCATCAGCAGCCAAAGCTGAGGTCGATTTGAAATGTCTCACAGCAAAATCCCATGAGATCACTATAAACAACACTAGCCTAACGAACAGAGAAACCTTTATCTAAACCTCTAAAATGACTTGAAGTCAGCTGAGCCCAACATAGGACAGCACTGCTGCGATCCCTGCACCTTCCCCCACGTTCCTAAAGCCTCTTCCCCACTGGTGCACTAGAGGGCAGGGCTGACACTGCTTGCTACTTCGTTTTGGAACTTCTTGGATTGTGCAGCTATATTCACTGATTTATCTTTAAGTGACTCCACCATAACTCAGTTTGTCCATGGTATTTAAAATATTCAGGAAAAAAAAAAAACCTTCAAGTAATATACAGTGTCAGGAGCTTTAAAATCACTTGCTATGGGGAAAAAAGTGAAGGAGAAAAACAAACAGTGGTTCTGATGTGTTACAGCAACGCAGCTTTCCTCCAGCACCTGACTCCCACAAGTCACACACTCACTTCTACCTGCCCACTACCAGCGATGCTGGGTGATGCTGGAGGACTCCCACCCCGCAGCTGTGACTGTGATATGACTGTGAGTCTTATCTGGGAATAGTGGGAAAGCAATAATGGCTGGCACCTTTTGACCAGAGCGATGTACTGATGAGACAGAGCTGCCAAGAGTAATGGCCTTCCTCACCTCACGTTCAAGGTCAAAGCTTTTTAATAAAAAATCTCAGCATGTGCCAGTGAAGACGTGCAGAGATGCCTTCTGAACCACATTTTCCTCATTCTTTGACAGGATGTTACTTCACAAGCCCACGCTGGGGACTCCCTTTTCCTTGACTATTCAAGCTTTCGATTTCTTTTTGTTCAGATATTTTTCAGTGGATACAATTTGCAGTGAGAGCAGGACAGAAGAACAGATACACACTAATTATAAAATCTACCAGATGCCTGATTTGCATGATTTGCTCACGTACTTTTTTAGAGAGTTCAGAGGGAGGGAACAAAAGTCTTTTCCGGACAGTTGTGCTTGTTTTGCCTTCACTGACAGCATGCTCACACCACCCAGGAATTTCACCTTACAAATGCACTGCAGGAACCTAAGACTTCAGCAGTGCCTTTCATGTCCTCTCTTTATTGTTAATATTCTTGCTATTACAGGAAAGACAGACAGGACTAATAAGAGACAAATATACTGTCACTTGCTGCCAGTTGCAACTTCACATCAGATTTTGCTTCTTCCCTTAGTTCTGTAAAACTAAGTAAAACACTTCATCACTTGCATTGCCTTTCTCCCATTCTTCCTACTTCTGAGCTACTTCAGCTTCTGCTCCCCTTGACTCATGCATCAGAACCACTGCTGGAGAGCTGGTGTTGGCAGGCTGCAGCTGAGCAGAAGCAGCTTGCAACACAGGGCAGGCTGGCACGTACAGTGGAAGCTAATTATCTTCTCACATGGGAAGTTGAGGAAAAGAAATAAACTTTATTCTTCACTGACTGATCCTATCAAGGCAATATTGAAAATGCTCCCATATCTAAATACAGATCTACAGTCTGTTACAAGGAGTTAAAGGCATTCCTGTCACTTGAAACATATTCTTTAGACCCTATCTGCCATACACCAGACCCAAGAGGGAATGTCCTAAGATGAACTCTTCAGGGTGGTGCCTGGGAAAGTGGCAGTAAATTGCAAGCAGAAAAAAATATTTACAGAAAAGCCAAGCAAAATCCTTCTTGATCAGTCCTGACAGCCTTTCCTCCCCATACACACTGATCCTACTGACCTTTACTTACCTCCGAAGTCCCCAGATGACCTGTCATCAGCACAGTCCTGTATCATACTGCAAGGACTGCATTGGGGTCCCCACCTCCAGACTCTTGCTATGGCAGTCTTCTTCAGTTACTGCCTTTATTTATAGCCCTCAATTCCTCTAACAGGTTTGAGATTTCCCTGTGTGTAAAAAGTTTGCACATCCAGTATTTACAGTCCTCTGGGGAGCAGAGATTCACCTGATTCTGATAAAGCACCACCCTTGTTGTCACATGGCCCTTGTATATGCTTTCTCAAGTACTGACCACTGCAAATGAGAAAAAAAACCAGCAAAGCACAGTCTGTACACCAGAACAAGACATATGTGCGTTCCCATTGCAGCTGGCTTGAAGTCCTGGCAGGGCCTTCTGAGAAAGTTTCAGCCATAGATGAAGTCAAGAACTGTCCGCCCTCCTGCTGCTCATTAGTGCAGCTGAAGCACACATTAGGAGTTAGCAGACAAGCTTGATAGGAAGCAAGTTCATGCCACGTTGTACTAATTGGTACCTGAAAACCTAGAGTTGAGGCCAGCAACCTGAAGACAGACCTGCAAGAACTACAGGAACACTCTGGGGATGAGGAGCCAACACAAAGCAACAAACCTCCCCAGCCCTCCTGTGCCAATGTGACAAACACACAATAGGCAGCAACCCTCCCCTTCCAAAGAAAGGTATCAGGGAGTACCTACTTGGAGACCACAGCAAAATAAAAATAACAAACACTCCAAAAGCAGTTTATCTTTCATCTAGTGCAAGCGAATGCTTCATCATCTTGCTGAGTACAGTAACTCATGAACATCAGCTATGACTGTCCACCATGCTGCTGCAGTGCTCACGCAAACAGGTGAGCAAGCCATCAGTCCCAAAAGATAAAGGATTCGTTATCTGAGCTAAAAAATACATAACTGCAGCACAACCTGTGCAGGACAGCAGTCCCACCTTAGCAAAGGTATCAGCTTTCAACAGAATACGCTACCACACAGACATTATCCACACAAAGAAATACCAGGAAAAACACAGCAAGTGGAAATGTTTTCCAACTCAGATGTAATGAGCGCTGACAATACAAGCAAAAGCAGAAAGTCTACATTTACTCAAGTACAGCTGAGCCTCTGGAACAAATTGTAATGAAAAGTGTTTCTTCATCCGGCCTCAAGCGCCAGGAGCAGCTGCAGACAGGGTTTCAGCAAGCTGAGGCACAGCAGTTACTTGAAGCTGGAAATAAGGCAGCATCTCCTCTTAGCATTGTGGCCACACACTCCACAACACCAGGCATCACCTTTGATTCCTGCACAGAGGATGAACATGCACAGCAAGCAGTGAGTTCAGAAATCACCACTTTACAGGAAGCAAACAATAGGGATGCCCTGCCCAGGAAAGGATCTTAAGTTGGGCTGAAAGGATTTTCTCATGAACAGCAACTTTACATGTTCTTTGAGAGCTCCTGTAAAACAGGAAGAGACCCAGTAACATAAACATTTGAATCTGCAAAGGTTTAGAAGGTGTGGTTGAAGTAAAAGCACAGTGGGCTTCTGCTATCTCCTGAAGCACCAAAAACACGCTCACACACAAAGGCAGCTGTTGTTTCAGGAACTTAAAAGCAATCGTGTATCACTGGAAGTGAGAAATGAGTACAGCTCAAATGCTGAAACTGATGTGGACTTCATTGGGATGAGTTTGGCTTAAAACTGAAATACAAATATACATATCAGGATGGGTTTTGGTAAGAATGCAGTAACCAGTGCATCTGCAACCCAAGTGGTGCTGGTTTTTTTTATCCCTGAGAATAAGAAAAAGAACCCATAAGAACTTTTCTCAACTAGGAAGCACTTCTTACAGGACCAGCATTACCATGACAGCATCAGTTCCTTTCTTGGTTTCTTACCTTATTTAAACTGACGCTACAAGAAGCTGAAGCTGTGATAAAACCTCATTCAATCCTAACAGTACTTTCTCTCATCTTCTGGTTTGTCATACTCTTTTTTGGCTGGACCTGATGCAGACTAACTCTGTCCTTCCCAAAGTTATGTGAGAAGGCTGTGACCACACAAACAGCTCAAATTTCGCACTCTGCTTACAGCCATTAAACCTGTCTCCCACAGAACAGATATTCTTTTCATCCCTGCAGCTTTCTGTCAGTCACTCTTGGTGCCTACCTAAAATGAGATTATTAACTCATTGTCCTGTGGATCTTCATATGCACTGGGGACAAAGGTCTTTCTTTGCAGCCCAATCACATCCATTTGTGAATGGCGTAACTGCTGTATGCCTACCAAATGCTGCTTCTGGAAATAGTGGTACTGGATATATGCAGATTTGCTCCAGCATCAGCATCACTAAGCAAGGCTTATAAACAAACAGCATCCAGCTTGTGCAGTATTTTTTGGTGGTGTCAAGAAAGAACAGTATAATGGCACCTGAAAGGTGATGAGATGGCTGAGCTGCAGGATGATCCTGATTCCATCAGGAAGCAATTGCCTTAAGTGCTGCAAGGTAAATGAGCTGGAGGAGATCAGAGAAAGTAAACAGATCTTGGAAGACATTCTGCCTGCAGCAGCCACTCTATACAAAATTTACCTGGATAATTTGGTACAACAAGTTAAATACAGACTTTTAAAAACTATTTTTACTCTAGCTATACACTGAATGTTGATCTAAAGCAGAGGTGGAGACCTTCACTTTTTTTCTTTTTTTTTTTTTTTAAAGAGATCTGTATGCACATTCCTATTCAAATGAATGGATATACATGTATATCCATTTATATATATATATATTTATAATATATGAATATATAATTTATAATAAATATTTATATATATATAAATTCCTCATCCAGAAACTTTAACATTCTCTGATATACTAAGCTAAAAATAGGACATTTTTTTTTGTGTCAGTGTCAGAATGAGACAATAGAGTGAGTTCTAGCTTATCCAGCAACTCCCATTTCCCAGCTCAGTCCCAGCCTGGTACAGTGGAGCATTTTATTTGCACTATTTTTAGGGAGGTTATTAGGAAATTACCTAAATAAGGGCTGTTCTAGCTCTTCCTCCTCACAGCTGCTATTCATATTCCAGGGCTCTAGTTAAACCTCTGGGGACAAAGACTAAGTCAAATGGAAATATTTCTGAACAGAAGTTTTCAGTTAATTCTGAGCCTTGTTGGCCAACAAGACTGACAGTTCCTACAGACCGATGGACTGCATTATCTTGCCAGCCTCTTAAAGCTCATTTAACCCTTCAGCATACCTCCCTGTGAACTTGCATCTTCACTGAACGACAGGACTCAGCACAGTAATGAACTATCCTGAGTTTCTAATTTTGAATGCGTTCCGATGCGGCGTCAGCTGAGATCAGCAATGCCAGCAATGTCTTTATCAAGATGGTTGGCAGGCAAACCAGTAGCAGGAGTCGCCCACCAGTCACTCCTAACTGGGAAATACAAGTTTGAAAGAGGCCCAAACACTAAGGAATCCCAGCTTAAACAACCACGATCTCTGCTATGAGACTGCCCTACTCTCTGAGGCCCTGGTTTGGTCCTCCCACAGCTAGGAAGGAAGCTGCTCTTCTCTTCCAGCACACCAGATGTTGATACAAGAGTGTGATACTCTTGCTCAGGTCTCCAGAGATCTCCTGTCATGATTTTGGAATCCACACTTGAGGGTTGTTATGTCTCCATGCCTGCTCTGAACAGCCAATTCAACACCATGCAGCTCACTAAGTGGAAGAAAGTGATGATCACAAGAAGCAGAGCTTTCCAAAGATTTCTACCTGGGCTCAGATATCTGCAAGCACCCAACTGAGATACCATCACAGCAATACCTACTGTTCACATCCTGAAACCAAAGCCCTGACTGTTGTGTTCTGTGCTTGCTAACCAGGGAGCCCCTGTCCTTGGGCAGCTACAGTGTCCTGCACTGCCCACCACATTGCTTACATATACAGTGCAAGTGTTGACTTTCAGCTATCATGGCTTATACAGTTATGTAGAGATTCTGGAGAAGTTTTGCTATAAACACAACAAGCTGGAATTCCTATGTGCATTGGTGCAACATACAAGTTTCCTGAGCCAACTTGGGTGCAAAGGAGAACTCTTAGGAAAATCTATCCCTATCTTACTAAGATCCAAACCCCTCCCTAAGGAAGAACTGGTATTCTGCAGCCTCTTCCCCCCCCACACACACAAAGTGCTTATTTCAGATACTTAACAGTTGCAGCAAGGCACCAGGAGAGAAATACCAGGAGAGAAATCAGGAAGGAAGTGCACAGCCCAAAGCAGGCAAGATAAAATGCCTCAAATATTTTGAAGGAAATCAGAAAGCACGGATTTGGCTTCCCAGCAGCCCCAGAAACTGTTGTTAGTTCACAGGAAAGGAAGAGGGGCTGGATGAATCATTCCCCCAGCTCAGATTCAGCTCTCAGATGGTTTCTAATTATCAGTTAATTTCCAGTCAGGATCATTATACTCCACTAGGCGAGCAGCCACACAGAAGATGGTAGCATTAACACTGTTTTAAATACAGTGATACAGCAGAGAGAGGAAAACAAGCAGTGTGATGTCTCCACAAGCACAGGTAGCTCAGAAATCGGTCTCTGTGATGCAGTGGGACAGTGGCCAGGACACAGCTGGGCTCCTCGCTGCAGGAAGATGACACTGTTGGTACCTCTCCAGTACAGCCAGCAACAGAACAAGACTGTACCTCCACCTGAGACATCATCAGAAGATATCAGCTATCTTTTCCTCTGCCCCAGTTCACCAGAGTTATGGGTCCACAAGCATATTTTCCTGTGGTCACAAAATAATGTGTGAGAAAAACACAACAAGTGCAGGATCTGTCCTGGGACACAAACGTGCTGTGAGTCAAAGCACTGGGAAAAGTGTAGCATCAATTCTACAAATCATCAAACATGGGGTCAGGAAACCTAAGGCCTGTCTGCATTGCAGTATTTTCCCCTTCAGAGCCAAGCACTAGCAAACCACAGAGAACCCACAAGCACTGCACATGCTTTTTGGCTCCAAGACATCAGCTACTTTTTAAAAAGAAAATCCTCAAAAAAAAAAGTGTGGTCACTAATTCATCAGGGCTCTCTAGTGAACTATCTCCTTGCCTTGTCTTTGCAGGCACACAGGTTTCAGCCCAAATCCCAGTCTAACACAAAGACCCAGAGCATAAAAAAAAAAAGGAAGCCTCCTTTACATGCTCACACCTATATATACTGAGAAAGGCAAGTGGGATTCCTATGGACTGCTCAAAACCACATCAACTTACCCACTATGTTGGGCACACCCAACCCACATCACCAGAAAAAGTGATCTGTGAACACAGAAGTTATAAGCTTAAAAAAGAAAGGTATCACCTATCTGCTGTGGAGAATGAAGGGCCACGATGAAAGCAAGAGAAAGGTGGGTTGAACACCAGAAAAATTAGGAACCAAACCTGTTCCTTACAGGAAGGAATCAGCCAGGGAGGCAGTGGAACTCCATCACTGGATTGTTGAGAGTGGGTTGGGTGCCAGGAAGGCACTGACGCCTTCCAGCAGCAGACAGGGCAGAAGAGGCCCCTCCAATTTTCTCATGTTTGGTGAAAGAAGAAACTGCTCTGCTTTAAGAGAACTGCTGTACTGCAGGAAAACTGCAGTGTACACTACTCTGCACAGCATGACTTACAGAGATAGTCTGGTCCCCAGCAGCACAGAAACTAATTCAAATATGAATGAAGCAGTTAAAAATGAAGAGGAGAAATATGACCCAAGGGCTAGGACACCAAACTGAGACCTAGGAAGCCACAGCTCAGGCTGGAGCATCCTATCCCTTGCTCAAACAACAGCCCTCCCCCTCTCATCCCTTACCTAGGGGACAGCAAGCTGAGAGCATGGCTGGATAAGGATGAGGGCAAACAGAAGTGTCAGCAACATAAATATGCTAAAAATAAGAAATGTAGCTGCCTGTGAACTTTTACAACCACAACTTGTTCAGTACAGTTTTTAGGATGGATCGAGTGGGTGGAAAAAAGGATAAAGATGGCATGTCGCATCCAGGGTACACTCACTTAACTATAGCATATAGACAGCTCAAAGCACTTTGGAAGCGTACAGGATCAATACAGAAAGTAGCACAGCCCACAGGAAGGGATTCCTGTGAGATGGGCCTCTCGCACAAACCACTAAAATCACAACAGCCAAAAAAAGATCTTTGTAGTGTCATATAGGACTTCAGCATAAGAAAGATTTTGGCTAAATAGACTAACAGTAAAACATCACTGGAGTTTGAGTTACAGCTGTTTGGAGGGCGATCAACGGCAGAAGCAGTTTGTGTACCCTTAACAGTCCATCATGCAGAAAACATTTCAGAAAAGCTAGAAAAATGCCAGCGTGCTCATTTTCAAAGGAGATTTGTTAACTGCATGGGCAGAAAAGATAACTGAGGACACTTGAGTTAATTTGGTAAGGCTTTTATTGACTTACCACTGGACAACCACTCCAAGGAAAACAAATAAGGGTTTCATAGCTTCAACACTGTAAGCAATAGCTAGACTAAACACTGATAAGTAAAAAGATAAGTAATTGATGGAGAAAAGTAATCCTAACATAGGCCAGTTTCAACCCCCATGCTGGTCAACAACCCCATCCAGAAACAAATATAAGTTTGTCTACTAAAACTTGGAGATCACTCAAGCAATAAATAATGAAGACAGTCAGAGTGATCTGGATCCCTTGGCAAGCAGGGCCTATTCAAATCAAATGTGCTGCAGTGCAACAAAATATGAAGTCATGTATCTGGGAGCCAGGAATGCAGGCCCTGCTGCCAGAAGATGACAGACTGCAACTGGGATTGCACCAAACTCTGATGCTGCAGAGGATGCAGAGGTCAGAGCAGATAAGCAACTCAGCAAGAGACTAAGGACAAGAAGGGCTAATGCGATTATGGGATGTATAGAAAGAGAAGCAGCAGAAGTATGGAAGAAGATTCCTATCTCTACATACTGAAAATATCCACACAGCTATATTTTCTCCCCCCTCAACTCCCCCCCCTTTTTTTAGTAACTTTTAAAGGCTGCAGCACGCTTAGAAAAGAAACTGGAAAGACTGTTTTAGACTGAAGCAAAAAAATCATGACTTGAAAAACTCGATTCATTTGATTTATCAAAAGGTATATTCAGATATGACAGATCTTCATGAGTTCAAGGGAAAAAAGCAGAGCTACTAATGAACCCCCTAGCAGAGAAAAGGTTGAGGCAAAACAGCTTATTCTAGTAGACTTGATAGAATGATCTACTAGTTCTCAACAGATTTATAGTAATACTGGCAGAGGTAAATTATCGTCTTCTTTTTTTGTAACATCTGCATAACTGCTTGTATTAAGGACAGTTTATAGCCTGTCACTCTTAGAATGTGATGTATCTAAAGCATTAAGTAATCAAGAAAAAACTGAGCCTCCAGCTCTCTCAGCAGCAACTTACTCAGAAATGTGTACGAAGATGTCAGGCCCTCCATCTGCAGGGGAAATGAAGCCATGGCCTTTAGAGCGACAGAAACACTTACAGACGCCTTTGTAGATGGGACCCTCTGATGCTCTCACAGTTCTGGGAAATAGAGCACAAAGAGCAGTTCATTGTGAGCACGGATGCAGAAGGTTCAGCTGCAGCACTCCAAGCAAACGGGCACAATGGCTCAAATAACCTCAGCAGCAACTACTCAATAGTACCAATCTGGTCTTAAAGAGGGAAATACTTCCAACTTTCTTCATCCAAACGGACTGTAGAAAACTAGAAGCAATTTAGACTAATAAAATTCTAATTTTAAGGGGAACAGATAACAGTAAAAGACCAAAGCACTTTCCAGATACAACAAACTCAACCTCCCTTCACCTAAGCGAGGGGCTGATCAATCTGCCCAAACGCAATCACTTGGCTGTCCCAGCTAAGTGCACTTTTCCCAGTACTCACGCTGAATACGTCCTGGTGCGCCGCGTGGGCAGCGGGCTGGGGATGAGGTACCCCCTCATGGGAGATGGGGAGCGATCTCTTGTCCTGCGGTTTTCAGGCAGATGAAGAGAACTGGACGAGTGCAGAGAGGAGGGGGACTGCTCCGAGGCAGATGCAGCAGGCTCAGAAGACATTCCTGATGCCTGAGAAAAACCTAGAGAGAGAAGAAGATCTGACTTACTCACAAATGGAAATTTTCATACCGAAGTCACAAATTCTTCAGCTTATGATTTTGCAAGAATATGACTCATTTCCTGTTGAAGTACATATGGACATAGTTTAACCAAAATCTCCTGCTGTTTCATAGAATCGTTTGAGTTGGAAGGGATCTTTAAAGGTCATTTAGTCCAACACCCCTGCAAGGAACAGGGACACCGACAGTTCAATTAGGTTGTTCAATTAGGTTGCCCACAGCCTGGTCCAGCCTGACCTTGAATGTTTCTGGGGATGGGGCACTCACCACCTCTTCAGGCAACCTGTGCCAGTGCTTCACCACCCTGATAATAGAGAACTTTTTTCTTATACCCCACTGAAATCTCCCCTCCTTTAGTTTGAAACTATTTCCCCTTGTCTTATCACAGCAGATCCCTCTAAAAACAAAACAAAACAACAACAACAACACTGGTTCCCTTCAGCCCCCCTTCAGCTACTGAAGAGCTGCTCTCAGGTCTCCCTGGAGCTTTCTGTTCTTCAGGTTGAACAGGCTCAGCTCTCCATCTGTCCTCACAGGGAGGTATTCCATCCCTTGGATCATTTTTGTGGCCCTCTTCTGGATGTGCTCCAATAGATCCATGTCCTGTACTGACTCCACATTTGGATGCAGTACTCCAGGTGGGGTCTCACCAGTGCAGACACAGGAGGAGAATCACCTTCTGCAACCTGCTGGCCACCCTTCTTTTGATAGAGCCCAAAATACAGTTGGCTTTCTGGGCTGTGAGGGCACATTGCTGCCTCATGCCCAGCTTGCCATCCACCAGCGCTCACAAGCCCTGTTTGACAAGGCTGTGCTCAATCCTTTTGTCCCCTAGCTTGCACTGACAGTGGTGGTTGCCACAACCCAGATGCAAGGCCTTGCATTTGGCTTTGTTGCACCTCGTGAAGCTCTCTTGGGGGCACTGCTTGAGCTTAAGTCTCTCTGGATGACATCCCATCCTTGGGTTGTCAAATACCACACAGTCTGGTGTCCCCTAGCTTGCTAAGGGTGTACTCAGTCCCTCTTGATGTAATTGGTGAAGACATTGAAGAGTACAGGTCCCAGTACTGACCCCCTGAGGGACAGCACTCATCACTGATCTCCATCCAGACACAGAGTCATTGACCATTACTTTCCAAGTATGAACTAGCAGCCAGTTTGTTGGCCATCAAACAGTTCACCCATCAAATCTATATCTTTCCAATTTGGAGAGGAGAATATTATAAGGAACTGTGTCAAAGGTTTTACTGAAGCCCAGATAGGTGACATCAGTGGATTCCCCTTGTCCATTGATGCAGTTATGCCATCACAGAAGGTCACTAGGTTGGTATGGTAGGACTTGCCTTTGGTGAAGCCATGCTGGTTATTCCATATCACTTTCCTCTCTTCCATATGCCTTTACAAGCTCCCAAGAGAATCTATTCCATGATTCTCCCCAGCAGTCAGTAGTTCCCTGCATCATCCTTTCTACCCTTCTAAGAAATTCAATGAGTTCAATTTTCTTTGTACAAAGTTGACAGCCTTTGAACTTGAACAAGGCAGCTTCATCGAAAGCAGATCACTTCATAACTAACACAAGGTGTTTTAGAATTTACTTCTGCTTTGCTCACAGGCAATGGCTCCCAGTGCTGAGATTAACCTCAACATCAGGCATTGGCATGCCCCAGACAGATTGGGTTTGACAGCACAGTGGAGCTTCCTGCACCTGTACACAAACACATGCTACAAGAAAGAAATATCACAAAAAGAAATGCAGAAATAAAGGCTACATCTTCACTGCTGGAGATTATTTTCACTGTGCAGTGACCAGTGTTAGCTTCATTCACTGTTGCTGCTGCTTGGCTATTAGTGCATCTTTTATTGCTTATAATATCTTCAGCTCAACTAGAAGATGAAAATCCCGTGTGCTCCTTAATTCACTTCAGGCAGAGTCATACAGTTTACTCTGTATGATGCAAAGTAGAGCTGGAAGGCGATGGCTGACTGCACGAATCCCTCTGGCCTGCAGACACCACAGTGTGCTTCGGTGGATCCAAGCCTGCTACAAAATTTCTGCAATGACTCTGTGTTTGCATTCAGACTCAATGTAGAATGAAACAGGTTTGCTCTCATTCATGTCCTACAGCATAGGACCTCTTCTCAGCACACCAACATGGCTCATCACACAACAAGAAAAATCTCAAGGAATCTACAAGAAGAGAGGGAATGATGAGAAACAGCAGCACTTCTGCACACGTCTTGTGTACTTACAAGTACACAAAGGGACAGATGGAAGAGAAATAAATCAGCACTGCTCTGGTGTGCAAACTCCCATCACAAAAGACAGGATAAGTATTACAAAAATAACCAATAATTTGGTATGTTCTTAAATTAGAAAATCTAAAAATAGCTGGATGAGCAAAATGTGTAGTGATATAGGTCAAGAAAATATCACGAAGAATAGAAAAGCTGTCTTTAGGTCCAAGCCTCACTGAACTGAAATCTCATCTCCATTTTGCACCGTCCCTTCCACACCCACACTCTCCAGCCCATGAATTATGGAGCAGATCCCTCACACATTAGAGATGCAGCCTTCATGTCAATGACAGAACTTCATTATTCCCTCCTGAAACTAATGACTAAAATTAAAAAGGTCTTTTAAGAATGAAGTCACCGGGGAACAAAGGCATTTGTGTTTAATTGTTCAGGGTATGAGAAGGTAGAAGTGGATAGTCATGTTCACGTACCACCTTAAGCTTTCCACCCTCCTCTTAAGTAGAACAGAGATGGAAACAAAAACATGGCTTTAAATTGCCCAAATATGGATGGCATTTACAATCCACCAGCTAATGCTCTGCCCAGCATCACAGACAACATTCAGTTAAGACCAAAATAACACCAAAAGGACGTGATTTTCCAAGCCTTCTTCAAAGAGGCCTGCTGCAGTGACCAGTATGAGGAAGACTCAGATTTGGGAAGGCCTCTGCTTTGGGCAGCCTGCTTTCAAGGAGCGCATGTTATGAAGTGGCAGGACTACAACTCTAATATGTCACAGGGAAAAAAAAAAGAAAAAAAAAGCTAAATGATTAAAATTTAAACTGTTTTAAATGATTAAAACCTCATTCTCATAACTCAGCATCTGACTTAAGCTTTTGCACAACTGAAAAAGCAGCTTCCACAGAAACGCGCGCTTTCTCTCCTCTAAATATAAACCACCAGGTACGAGCGACGCGCAGAGCTCTGCACTCATCTGCAGCAGCAGTCACAGGCAAACAGAGCACTGCCCATCCCCATCCTGATACAGGGGCAGAGAGCTGGAATTTTCTCTCTTTTTCTTTAAAACACAGACAAGCCACAGAAATATTTACAACAAAACAGGCTAAACGGATTTAGAAGAGTGCTAATTTAGGTTATTGTTCCCATTTAGGTTACTTTTGTGTCCTCTGCTCTTCAGATAGAAAGCAGTGTGGAACACGCGGTACCACTGCACTGCACAAATGCCCTTTTTGTTCACTGCCCACTGCTACAGCAACCAAACAGCCTGGTACCTTCTGTCACACCAGCCCAGACGTGACAGCAACTCTGCAGGGCAGATGCAGGAGCTGCCTGCCCAACAGAGAGCACAGCTCAGAGCAGGGCAGAGGCCTGAGCAGCCACAGGAAGCCTGCGGCTTTCCGAAGCGACTGGCGATTTTATTGTAATGTTACTCACACACAGATTCACTTGACAGCACTCCTCCTGGAGGAGCAGAAGTGCCAGACCCACTTCTGTGCACCGCTGAGCAGATGTGAGGCTGTGTGCACACCAGCAAACACCAAAATCAACACCCACACCCGAGTCCTCCCAGCCTGCCTCGCTTGTGCAGGTCTCACCTTCCAAATTCAGCTACTGAGAATTTTTACAAAGGTTTTTCTGACCTTGCCCTTGGCTCTGAGCTGAGCTGTGCAAAGCAAGAGCAGCTCTCAGCCAGCTCTCTGCCCCACCTCAGCAGCTGAGCGAGATGCAGCTCTGACAGAGGAGGCAATCAGGGCAGGATCTCTTCTCCTTGAGCCAGTAAAGTATTTGCCTTTCCATTATCTACTGACTGAAGGCAAAGTGATGGAAGGTAGTGACACTTCCAGGCGCTGTACTTCAGAGCATTCCAACCACACACTGCCTTTGCCTATTCCAACACAAAGTTCAATCAACTCTGACCAACACAGATTTATTTTAAATACTGCAGGAATGCACCACACTAAAACATAGACAAAATACAATGCATAGGATACAGTACATGCAGGAGAAATTTCTTAAGTTCTCCCCTCAAAAAATAATCTATGGAAATAATTATGGTGGGTGACATGCAAGTGTCATCATTTCCCTGCACATTTACACACTGTGCTTCTGTCCTTTTTTAATACTATCCCATACCTCTAAAAACACATCAAATTTGGGGAAACGTTAAACACTCTGAACAGTTTCGGGGAAATGTTAAATATTCTGAACAGCACCACAATGCTACTAAGGAAACCTAGGTTCTCCTGAACGAAGGAAACACTTAGGAAAAAGCAGGACCAGGTTTTCTGGAGCCCGTCACAGTCATCTCTATCTGTGAATGATCCCTTCACACACTACCAGCATCACAACACACTGAATGCTTCTGAGAACAATTTTGCCCCAGGGCAGAATCCCAAGCAGCATGTCACCCACTGAAGGCATGCACATTCCCACTCCTCCCACTACCCTGCTCTGATGAATGTGAGGGACCAAGGGTGCAGAAAGTTTCTCCTTCCAGCTTAGTTTGCTTATGAGCAACTTTCCACAATTAATACTGACGTTTCAATTAACATTAAAACTTGGAACACTTGCAACATGCATGTGATGTGTTAACAGAAAGAATTACTGTATAAACATTATGCTCTTAGCAGGCCACAGTTGGAGACCAGGACACTGCCCAACTGTCCCCACATTCAATAAAAGCCTAATTATAAGGTAGATAAAAT